GTTATGAGTCACAGGAGACTCAATGGCACATCATAACAACATGTTCTTGAAAATGTGGATTTTGTTAATGGTCCTTCAATGTGTGTTGAGTCTTTTGGTGTGTGTTTGTTTTGGGTGGCTTTTTTTTTTCTTTCATAGGCAATTTCCATACTGGTAGAGCAGCTATATCTAGTCCATCCCTTTATTTTCAGTCTTTGTTTCAAGTTCTTGGAGTAGGTTCACTTTGGAGCTATCCAACACCATGCAGTGGATTCTGACTCATCACAATCCTTCATTGTGCTTCCAAGGTCATAAATCTGTCTAAGAAGAGATTGCCTATAGTTTCCTATGGAGCAGGTGGATCTTTCATCAACAGTGGAACAGATAAGGCACTATGCCAACAGAGCTTCGTCCTTTAGGGGTTGTTGTTATTGTGTACCACAGAGTGGGAACCATCCATAGCTGACCCTCCAGTGGGTTTTCAGAGGCAGTTAATCGCACAGAAAGAGACTGCCCATTCTTCTTCCGCAGAGCAACGGGTGGATTTGAACCACATGCATTTGAGATTGCAGTACAGATTCTTACCACTAGGCCATCAGAACTCCCTTTAGGGGTAGAGTGTCCCTGATTTTTAACTTTTGTTTTAGCTTTTCTACAGTTTCCCCTTCATGTAGGATGATGCTTCATCACTCCAATTGGTCAGCACTCCAAAATTTCACTGTGTAGATTTGCAATCTATGTTCCCCTTCAGGCTCCTGTTAAAAGTACCTGTTTTCTGCCCGTTGTCACAGAAATGCACTCAGTGGAAGTTCAATTTCTTAATCAGCCAGAGAACCAAGAGAGCCTCCTGCAAATATCTAGAGCTCCTTTGTACAATTCCCTCTTCTCTGTACCTACCCTGCAAAATCCCAACAGCATCAGCATCCCTAAACTCCAACCTGGAGATGTTCCTCCTGGTGAGACTGCTGCTTGATCTCTGGGTTCCTTTCCCATGTACTAAGTTTTGTCAGTACCCCAGACAGAAAGGAGGCTGAGTATAGAACTTAGCTTGTGTTTCTCTTCTCCCATCTCATAGCCCTGTGCCACCATGCCATGTCTGAAACACAGTGTGACCAGCCCTACAGTTGTATATGGTGGCACAGGACACCTAGAATGCATACTATCCCATGGTCAAAGCCAGAAGTCTGTTCATTCATATTTAAGTACAATTCACTAAAAAGCTGAGAGAACAATCTGTGTGAGTGTAACTTCATGAGGTTTCTATAATGTCAGCATATGTGGGTCCTTACTCTGACTTAATCTCTTCAGTCTTCTTCCTTGAAGGAGCACAACTTGGCTTTTGGAGCTGGGCAAGGAAGAAATCATAAGTTCACCTCTCTCAAATGGGTAAACAGTCTCCAGATTTCAGACTCTTTCTCCCCTAGATTGGCTATCCAGCACCTAATGCGTGCCTTCCTGATTCAATTTGGGTAGAAACCATGTCTCTGCTTCATAGAGGATGGAAGAGGACAAGATATATGACTGTGCAAGCGAGGCAATGGTGTCCTAGGGAACAAACTACTTAGAGGGTTTTTCAAATGACCTCCTTGTTTCATGTATAGTGTTCATCCCATTTCCTGATAGCTAGTTTTTCCAACTGTCAGTCTTTTCTCTAGGGTTCTGTGGAACAAATGGCTGTGCTTTTTATCAATGTTTCCCTCTGCTGGCATTTAATTTTTACTTTCCTCCATCCTGTTACGTCATTCGCCGTTTCTCTTTTTGCTTTCCATAATGTTGCCTGTGTTACAAATGTCTTTTCATTTTATCAAAGAAGGGCTTATGCTCCTTTCCCTTGTTCTTCCTGTACTACACCTACTTGAAGTTGGTGGTGCCAGCCTCTATCGTGCTGAGAATCCACTCATAATGACTATATTAAGCTTCACAGTCACATCAACAAATTTTCCTTTAAAAAAAAAAAGCAACAAACACCACAAATAGTTCTTCATCCACCATTTATTTTTTTTACACCCCTTATTTTCTGCTTTCTCAACTTCACTTTACAGTTCACCGGAGTAGGTGGGTTTTCAGAGGATGTTCAAGGATAACAAACGTCCTGAATTTTGCATAGCTCATATATTTGTGCCTTGTTCTTTTCCATAGAGCATCTGACTTGGAACCCACACATCAGTGCCGTGGAAGAAAAGGCCTGGCAGTCGGCTTCTGTGATGATTACAGCCAACAAAACCTTGCATAGCAGTCGTGTTTTATAACCCAAGAGGTCGCCAAGGGTCAAAGTCATCTCAATGTCAACCAACAACAACAGATTCTGTTTGGGATTTAAACAATTTCTCAGAGAATCTCACTGTTGCTGTCGTCTCAGACTTCTTTTTTCTATGATATGGCAGATTAGATGTTCAGATAAATTTCTCTAAATAGGCGTAAATTGCTAGATTAAACAACTGGCTGAGGGGAGGGCAAGTGAAGCAATTCTTCTGAGTCCTGCAACCAGCCCTTGTATTCCTGGCCAGGTCCTTCTCCCAGTGGACTGCCACTTACAGCCATGACATCATCACTCCCCACAATGGTGTTTAATGCTTATCAACTCTAGGACAGACATCTGCAGACTCTATCCTTGTCCACTTCAGCACTGGATTTATTTAGATGCTGGCACTAGCTAGTGAGTTTCTGACAGCCCCTCTGATTGCTAAAGATTGCAATAGTTTACTTTCCTATGAGTCGTATAATGCTGCATCAGTTATGATGTCAAGTAACTAACTGTGTGGCATTTATCCAGTCATCTCCCTTTATGATTTCCAATTAGTCATCTTTCAGATGATGATCCCTAAGCCTTACTACAGGGCCTGTCTGTAAACTAATCCACCAAGCTTTCATTAGCAGCCCCGAACATTAACATTTATACCATCTAGGAATCCCAATAAGATATCAAGTGGTTTTATTATTATCCTTAATAATAATAGTAACTACAGCAATGGGCTTGAGTGTGTCAGATTGTGAGTTTAGCAAAGGATAAAACAGGATTCAGATCTGTCGTTCATCGGGTCCCTATGAGTTGTACTTGATTCGACGGCACCTAACAACATCATCATCCTTGTATCATCTGGTTGACAAGATGTGGAAGTCTGCTTTAATAAAGATTACAGTCTCAGAAACTCTATGGAATAGTTTTACTTTGCCCTATAAGGTCACTGTGAGTTGTAATCAACTCAATAGCAACAGGGTTTTAATTATTATTACTCTCGTTTCATACAGCTGAGAGGCACTCAGGTGTGCTATGTCTTCCAGGTTGTGAGCAATGTATTGAAACTCAGGCAGTCGAGCTCCAAAGCCAACACGCTTAGCCACTGAGGTCACCTGCCTCCCCCTCACTCCCATGAGTATTTGCCACACCATGCCATGAGACCAAGTTAGAAGAAACTGAAGGCCATCGAGGTTTAAAGACTCAGGGTCACACAGTGACGCGTGCTGGTCATCCAACCATAGGTCTCCTTCTACAGTTTAGCAGACACCTCTCATTACTTGGGAAATTGCTGACAGGCAGCTATTAAGCAAGAACAAGGCAGGGGCTGTGACTAGAAGAGAGTGGTGTCAGAATTAAAATTGGCAACAAGTAGAAAGGAAGAGGCTTACTCTGGGCAAACAATGGAGCAAGAAGTGACAGTCCTGGGCAGACACAAGAAGGGCAAGTAAAGAAGGATGACAAGAGGGAGCTCTGGTGGCCTAGTGGAAAGAAGCTGCACTGCAATCCCAGAGGTGTGCAGTTCAAATTCACCAGATGCTCTGTTGGAGAAGAAGGGATAATCTCCTCCTGTACCAGTGAGATCCAATTTGACAGGGTACACACACACACACACACTACTACTACTAATAATAATAATAATAATAAATTTTAAAACACTAAAAAATAATAAATAAATTTAAAAAAATAAGAAGGATGACGAATCTGGACATTTCGGTCAAAGAACGTTTAAGGAAAGCCTCAGAAGGGTAAAAAAGTAAGAGAGTCAACAGTTTAGGAAGGACACAAAAATCATACTATTGTAATCATATATGGCTTTTGATCCCAGTCTAGAAGTTGTATGAAAGTCTGCATTTTGAACCCAAAGAGTATCGTTTGGATTCCAGAAGGTTTACCTGAAGCAGACCTAAGCACAAGCGATCTAGTAAGGGGTGGGGCACATAATAAGCACTCAATAAATGATTGTTCCACATGAAACAGACAAAGACAGGAAAATCTGGGAATTGCTTTCATAAAGAGAAATACACCCATGGGAGGAGGTGGTCAATAAATATTATTTTTTTATCTGTGTACAGTAAGAAGCCGAGGGAGTTGTAAAAGATTATCGGTTACATTCCAAAGAGCCTTCAGCCTCTGATTTCAATTCTGGCAAAGTCCCCAAGGAGACCTCCGAATCGCTCACTGGGGAGATTTAAGAACACATTCTTAGATGAGCCATTTAGAGGGAGTAGTGTAGACAATTTGAAAAGTGAAGAATTGAAGGGCTGGATCAAACGACCCTAAGGATTTTGTCAGTTCAATTTCCATACAATTCCCTCAGAAACTGCCATATTCACTTTACCTCCCAAAGGACCGGGGAACAAACCGGATGGACCAGCAGACACTGCCTGCCTACCAGGCCGAGGATGGCTGAGTGATTTGGAAATCTTCCAATTGCATAGAGTCTGGTTAAATTGTAGGCCATTTATTTTATGAAGAAATAAAACACAGAGAGTCCCTATCGAACACACACGCAGAAATCAGGACAGAATGCTGACGAGATTATGTGTTCAGAATTTGCTTTAAAAGAGGCCAGGCAGCGCTCATTTATTTTTAAGAAAATATATGATTAACCATAGTTAACTATGAATTTAGATGTTGTGCATTAGACCAGCTCCTCAAAGTTTGAGAGCATTTAATATTATATATCGCTGCCATTTGGACTAAATTGTTTTTTTAATGTACACAATATTACAAATTTAATTTGAGCTGTTTGAATCAGTCTGTAAAAAAGATTTGATTATACCTGAGTGTTCTGGCCCCGGCTTTTCCATATCTCAGTAATCTTGGCGGTAATTGGCTGATTAGGCGTCTCACACTCCATCTCTGCCTCAGTTTCCATGGTAATGTTACAGGAGCTATTATAGATGAGAACTTCATCTCTTTCCACTTTAGGGCTGAAACGAGAGGGGAGGTTAAATGGGGTGTCATCAATCTTAATGAAATGCAATTATTTTTACTCTTATTAATCATTGCAAGCCATTAGCTTGTGGCAACTACAGGCCACCATTTGTCAAATTTTGCAAATTTCTGTAATTTTGTTTCCATTCTTTTATTGTTTATTTGTTTTCCCTTTATCTGCACACCCTGCAATGAAAGTGAGCGTGGTAAACATCTTTTGCTGAGGTCTTTCTCTTTTCCAAATCTATTAGGAGCATTAGCAAAAGCTTCTCCAAAGCCCAACTTAACAAGAAAGGCCGAGACAGTTTCTCCAGTTCCAAAAATGGAAGCAAATATTGGGGAAAGTGTTTTTCCTTCTTCTTCCTTTCTTTTCCCCTTCCCTCTTCCTGTTCTTACTCACATGTTGTGTCGGGAGAGTGAATTGCCTAAATTCCCCCAGGGCAGATGGAGAAATTGGAAAACCCATACAACTGGCTAACCGGTCCCTAATTCCAACTGTGAAAAAATGAGCTCATTTAGGCTTTCAATTCCCTCTCCCCAGCTGATGGCAATGAGGCTCTGTTGCTAACAGTGGAACATTAACTTAGTAAATTAATTAAACTTACTTAACAGCCTAGACTAAGGAGATTCGATATATGTGCCAGTTATACTACCAGCCACTCATTTGAAAAGTCCTATGGCTTTAAGAGGGAGAAGCCAGACTGGATTTAAAATGAAAAACAGCAGTGTAGCATTACAAAAAAAATCTAAAAATATGTAGTCCAGGAGAGGGGAGAGCATGGATTTTCAAGGCAATTGTCCCCAACAGGTGTGCTTTTTATTCAAAAACAATCCTGGCTTGAGGCATTGTTACAGTTAATTCAGAAATTATTAGTAATAATTTTTGTTGCCTAGGTTCCAACCTTCTCAATAAGACAACAGAAGCTTGCCCAGTCCTGTGTGAACCTCACAATAGGAGCTATGTTTGAAGGCACTGTGGCAACATTTTGCCAATTCACCTTATTGGAGATCTTCCTCTTTTTCACTGACCCTCAATCTTACCAACATAATGACCTTCTCCAGGGGAGGATGATCTCTCTTGATAACATGTCCAAAGTACATGAGACAACATTTCTCCATTTTCATTTCTAAGGAGCATTCTGTCTGTACTTGATGCAAAACAAATTTGTCCATTTTTCTAACAATCTATGATATATTCAACATTCAATTCAAATGGATCAATTACTCTTCAGTCTTCTTTGTCATTGTCCAGTTTCCCCATGCATGTGAAACAATTTAAAGGTGACTTGGGTCAGAGGCACCTTAGTCCTCAACGTAGCATCTTCACATTTTAACACTCTAAAGAGTTCTTTTGCATGTATGTACAATGAAATATATGCTGTTAGTCCTTTCTCGATACTTCCTTGGGCCAAGAGTCTGGATTTAAGTAAAAAGAATTCCTTGACAATTTCAATATTTCCTTTGTTACTCAGGATGCTGCTTTACTGATCCAATTGTGAGAATTTTGGGGTTTTTTTTTATGTTGAAGTATAATCCATCCTGAAAGCTGTAATCTTTGATCCTCGTCAATAAGTGAAAGCCCTTTTGACTTGAAGCAAGCAAGGCTATTCCATTTGCATATAGAAGGTTGATGAGGACTCAACCTCTAATCCTGATTAGATTCTTCCTACAGTAGCCTTACCATATTATTTGCTCACCAAAGAAATGAAATAGGCATAGTAAAAGATATAAGCCTGATACGCACTTTTCTAGAAACCACACTGTATTACCTGATTACTTCTTAGTCTATGTGAAGGATCCAAATACAATTAAATGTTCTTCCAATTCCATTCTGTCCAAAATTATATATGATATACTATGATAATAATAATTGAACACCTTTGTGTTGTCAATAAAACACAGGAAAAAAGACTTTCTCATATTTCATTATTTCAGTTGATGAAATACCTTATTCTATACCCTCTTCTCAGACCAGCTTGAATTTTTGAGAATTGTTCATGAACTGCTGTAATCATTGTTTTCATTATCACCAGCATAATTGGGAAATCTCTTCCTGTGCAATTAACTGCCTCTGAAAACCCACCAGAGGGTCAGCTAGGGGTTGGTTCCAACTCTATGGTACACACAACAACAATTTTAATTGCATGTGATATTAATTATATTACTCAATAATGTCTGCATTCTGTTAGATCACCTTTCTGTAGAATGAAAATATATATGTGTCTAGAGGCCTTGAAGCACTTGATGCAGAAAAGATACAGATCAAGGAAAGCAGCCTTCATTATGGATTGCATCTCAATGTCAAGAAAATAAAGATTCTTACCCCTGGACAAATAGGCAACATCGTGGTGGACGGAGAGGAAAGTGAAACTGTCAACAATTTTATCTTACTTGGATCCACAATTAATACCCTTAGTATTAGCAGTCTGGAAATCAGAAGACATATTTGCAGTGGGAAAATCTGCAGTTAGGGACCTTTCTAAATTATTGAGGGTTAATGATACCAATTTGAGGATTAAGGTGTGTCTGATTCAGGCCATGGTCTTTCTAATCACTTTGTATGCATCTAAGAGCTGGTCAATTAATAGGGATGACAGAACAAGAATTGATGCCTTTGAGCTGTGGTGTTGGAGAAGAGCAATGAACATCCCATGGACAGCCAAAAGAATAAATATGTCTTGGAGAAGCTACAGTCAGAGTGCCCTTTGAAGGCAAGAATGATGAGGCTTCACCTCATATACTTCCAACATATTGTTAGGAGGAGCTATTCCTTGGAGAGGGACATGATACTTGAAAGGGTGGTAAATAAGTAGAGGAAGACTCTCAACCAGGTGGATTCACATGGTGACTGTTGCAATGGGTTCTTGTGTGTCAGGAAATATGAAGATGGTACAGGATAGGACAGGGTTCTGATCTGTCGTTCATAGGGTCACTATGAATCATACTCAACTTGACAGCAACTAACAACAACAATAGCATATATCTTTCAGACCAGTGATTATTTCCAACACTGTATCTGCTTAATGTGGTATTGAAACATCTCAACTGGTTTTCCATCAAGGCCTCAAACCTTAGTTTTCACCAAAGCTGTCATTACAGCTTGGACCTCTGCTTATCATGAATACTTGATCATATTCTACCTTCTGAAATGATTAAATGTTGGACAATTCTTTTTGGAACAGTGTCATTGTATTCCATGCATCTTCTTTTAAGGTATCCTGCATCATTCAATATTATGTTCACAGACTCCTTAAGTACTACAACTAAAGTTTTAATCTTCATTTCTTGCAGCTCCAGAAATTCTTTGTCTGTTCTTGCCTTTGGTTTTCCAACTCCTGGTCTTTGTGCCTTCTATTATAATACTTTGGTTTGTCTTCTTGAGCTACCCTTTATCATGAGATCTCTTTGACATCTATTTTGGTTCTTTGTCTTTCTAATAATCATTTGTCTTCTTCATGTATGATGTTCCTGATGCTATCTCATAACTGATCTGGTCCTTGCTCATTATCCTTTATGATAGCAAGTCTATGATTAAGATGTTTCTAAACTCAAGTTGAATATACTCAAAGTTGTATTTTGGTCCTCATGGACTTGTTTTAATTGTATTCAATTTCAATTTTAACTTAAATGAGCAATTGATGGTCTTTTCCACTGTTAGTCCTGGCCTTGTTTTAAGTGATACATTTCAACTACCTCTTTTCACAGATAACTATAACACTATGTATTCCTTCCATCATCCGTTCATGCTTCCTGGATCATTCAAGATTTTGACCATAATATACTCCAATAATGCAGCCAGAGGCTTGAATTTATTGCTCAGTTCTTTCACTTTAATAAATGCTGAGTGAATTCTCCTCTTCTGATTTTCTGACTCCAATTCTTTGTACATTTAATTATAATACTTTATCTTCTTGAGTTTCCCTTTGAAATCTTCTGTTCAGCTCTCTTATTTTGTAAATTTATGGATGCTCAAAGCAATTTTTAAACTTTATTGGTCTTTTCTTTTTCCAGTCTTTCTAATAAACCCTTCTCTTCTTTCATTGGTTATAATATGCTATCTCACAATTCATTTGGTCTTCTATTATTAGTATTTAATGACTCAAATAGACTCTTGAGATGATGTTCAAATTTGGATGGGATAGATTTAAGATCATATTTTGGGTTTTGTATATTTCTTTTAATTTTCTTCACCTTTAATTTGAACTGCACCTGAGTAATTGATGGTCTGTTCCACAATCAACACTTGGGTTGGTTTTGACTCCTGATATTGTGCATCTCCAATGATTCTTTCCAGAGGTGTAGTCAGTCCGATTCCTTCTGGTCCATCAGGTAAAGTCTATGTGCATAGTCATTATTTGTTGTTGGGGTTTATTTAAAAAATATATACTTGCAATTAATAAATCCTTAATAGTTCAAATTTTGACCATTCTATCTACATGCTCATTTCTAACACCAAGTTTGTAATTTCCAATTAAAATAAATGCTTGCTTCTTCTTTGTTTTCCATTTTTGCATTCCAGTCACTAATTATTACTAATGAATCTTGATTGTCTATTATTCAATCTCAGACTGTAGAAGTTGATAAAACTCCTCAATTTCCTTATCTTTAACATTCATTGCTGGGGCATATTTTTTTAAATACTTTTTTTTTATTAATTTAAACGAAAATTTACAGAGACTTTGCATTTCCATTCATTCATTGTTGCATTTTTCTCCCTGCCCGCCCCTCCTCCCCCAGTAGACTCTTCTCTTTGAAAAGTAAAGTTCCCCATTGTTTCACAATCCATCCCCCAGGTCCACTCCACTATGCAGCCTTTGTTCTGGACTCTTATCATGACAATAAATACCTTATTACCTATCCCTTTTAAACAGTTTTCTCCTTCATCTATTTCAATGCAGTATACATTATTTATCACATTTTCTCAGTCTCCCTCCAACCCCAATGTCAGTCCTGTTTTACAACAGTGACACTAGGTGCATATTTTTGAATAATGGTT